CGCTTTACTTCCGATGGTCGCGGGTTGAATTCCGTATAACGGGTCAGCTAGCCATCACTGCGCTCAACTATATTCAGGTTTCAGTATCGGCATATTCGAACTCAGGACTTTTAGATCAAATAGAAGGGCAGTAAACTATTAGACCACATCATACAATTTTTTATTATAATCTAAATATATTATATATAACTCAAAGGTGACTGACAAAATTCAAAAATCATTTATTCATGTAGGACATTTTAGCCGCTTATGAACGTCAAATTTTTACATTCTAATTTTTTTTTTCCCTACCACCCAGTTCGGTATATAGATCCAATTGAGAAGAACTGGCAAGAAACTCAATTGAATTACTTTTTTTTTAAAGACATAGTGATCTATCAACGCACAGCCCAAACCACTGGACGGATCGGGCTGAAATTTGGCATGCAGGTAGATGTTATGACGTAGGCATCCGCTAAGAAAGGATTTTGATAAATTCCACCCCTAAGGAGATAAATTGACACGAGCGAAACCGCGGGCAAAAGCTAGTAGATTATATAACAAAAAAATATATGCAAATTATAGCTGGATCATTCGTCATACTCGTGAATGGGTGCCGCTTGTTGTTATAGTCCGTTCGAGTTATGACCACGATTACACTGTTTCTTTTTGACAAAATTGCAATAGCATATGGTGGTCACTCTATTCTCCCGAAATCAATTTAAAAATGCATCTGTTTTTTTATAAACATATACAAGCTCATTTGAAAAGGGTAAGAGCTGAGTTTCTTGTCTGTTCTTCTTAGCTCGAAAGCCCTCCGAATAGAGGATAGATTTGACATATCATAAGAGTCTGTAATAGAACGAAAATATTTTAATTTGATATGATTTAATAGGAATTTTGTAAGCCACTTACTGAGAAGACATCTCCTGCCGCCTCTGTCGATCTGATATCTTCCTACAGTATATCATTTCGTATCGCTCTCCTAAAAATGAGATTGCAATTAGTGATACGTCCTCGGATATGTGAAGGGAATGCGTTTGAAATAGTCGATATTGGTTTCCGACACGTCGCGAGCAGGAAGCAATCTTGTAAACGATGACAACTGATGGATATCTAATGCTGTAGGTATTAAGGTTTATTTTTAAATAAAACTAAAATTGATAGGTTTTTTATTTTTATTTCAGGGTACAATTTCTAATAGGTTTTTTATTTTATTTTTATTGTTTGACGGCCTCGGAGGTCTCGGTTTAGCACGCCGCTTTACTTTTGATGACCGCAGGTTCGATTCCCCGCTCGGTACAAACATATGTATTCATGAGTATGATTGTTTGTATCGGTCTAGGTGTTTTCTATGTATAATATGGATTTACGAAAAATTATCTACGTATTTGTATCAGTTATCTAGTACCCATAACACAAGTTTTAGCTAGCTTAACTTGGTCTAGATGGCGCATAATTGTCCTGAGATTATTATTATTATTATTATATAAAAATAATCAATTATATCGAAATATTGAAATTCAAATTCATATTCTAAATATCTTTATTCATATAGGTCTCTTATGATATGTCAAATCTACCAGTCTACACAAGCAGCGAGTATGACGGATGAGCCAGCCACCACTGCGCTCGACCTTATTTTAGGGAGCTTTTAACTATATATTATATATAGTTATATAAGGCTGGGTGATTTGTCCAGTCCCTCAACGTACTTTGTTCTTAATTAAAGAAGACACAGTATTACAAACAGTGGAATGTACGATTGGGATACTGCAAAAATACTTGAACAATTTCAATCGCCCCTCGAAGCGTATGATCCATCGTTAATTGAAAGTATTCCGTTTCAATATCCACTTGAGCTCTGAACGTACGCGCTCGGAATGCGTTAATGAAAATATCTGAAAAAACTAACTACATTACTACTTCACTATATCCGTACACTGCAATCCTGATGCTCTACTGGGGGAAGAAAATTGTTAGTAATGTGGACTGATAACCCCATTGCTGGCAATGTACCATGTCAGATCGACCTCACGCGGTTCCCCCTGGAAACCATCGTGATACATTCCCGGTGAATTTGTCACGTTGGGCTAACTGATCTGACTTCATGTTCATCCTATCATCCACCGTTACCGCAGGTGAGTGCAGAAATCCATTATCATCCTTTAAAAAAAAATCTACGTTACTATGTAGTAATTTTGACTTCGCTTTCATTTATAAACATACTAGCTGTTCCCGTGACTTCGTCCGCGTAAAATGACGATACTTCCATACAACCTTTCATCCCCTTACAACCCCTTACAACCCTTACAACCCCTTACAACCCTTTCGCAAATCACCTTCCAGCAATGGTATTTCCGAACCGATACGATATTACTACCTTCAAGAAAATAGCTTATTCCTTTTTAAAAGGCCGACAACGTACTTGCAATTCCCCTGGTGTTGCGGGTGCTCATGGGCGGCGGTAATCACTTACCATCAGGTGAGCCGCAAGCTCGTTTGTCACCTATGCTATAAAAAAATGTGCTTACTGAAAGACTTTCCGTTTAGTATTTTTATATAGTTGTTTTAGTTTCTAATAGATATGTATTAAGAACATATTTTATGTTCTTAACTCAATCGGCACTCGCCTTTTGTTTTAGTATTGTGAATTTTAATTTTAACTTTCTTTCTGTGAAAACTTTAAGTGTATTTTGAACTTCGTTTACGTTTATATTTATGCATGTAAACAGCCTCGGTTTTACAAATATAAATAAATAAATTACAAACAAAATAAAATTTTTTGGCTTTGTTACATAAGTCGAATTAAAAAAAAAATTGTAACCTCTGCAACAATTGCATCCATGCGGATCCGGGGCGACTCGCTAGTTTATTACAGCCACAAACATTGAAAAGATATTCCGTATTTATTAGAAACAGATTACAAACTTCTATTTTATATATTTGAACTGCTAAAATAACTTGAAACTTAGAGGAGGGCGAGTCTCAAAAGGCTTCGAGATCAAAGGGACAAACGCCGCAAAATGTTTGCACAAACTTCAATGAATAGCCACTTGTCCTTTTCAATTTGTTCTGACAAAAAATTGTTGAATATTTGTTGAATACAATAAAGTATTAGGTTTTTACAACATGTTATATACAACATTCTTTATATGGCGGCTGATGATGGTATTAGTATCACGTTAGGTTTACCTATAAACTATCACCCATGGAAACTATCTTTTATAAACAATATACTCCATATTGCACTGATAATTTAAAATCTATATATATATAAAAATGAATTGTTGTTCGTTAGTCTCGCTAAAACTCAAAAACGGCGCTCGGAACCGTTTTGGCTAATTTTAGTCTTGAAATATTGATGGTGGTCCTCCGTTTAAACCTTCCCTAGGTTTAAACGGTGATAAAATATGAAGAAATTGCGTGTAAAATAGTAGAAACAACAATTATATTTTCCCATATAAACAGCGGATACCTGTCAAACAGGGTACGTTCAGAAATTTATTGCGCAATTAAACTTCAAAAAACCTTTGACATATTTCATTTTGAGGCGGAACAGAATTCACGGTGTCAGCTAGTAACAAACGTATCAGAAATGATTAATTCCTAATCAATAGAATAGAATAGAAAATCATTTATTCAAATAAACTTAATTTAAGCACTTTTGAATAGTCATAACAATTTGTTTTTTATCTACCACTCGTTCGAAAAGCTGTCTCATCACAAGAAGAACGAGCAAGAAACTTGTGTGTTGCTCTTTTAAATAATCCTTGTAAGTTTACATTTACAAGTCGAAGCGTGTGAATACAAACTACCAACAAGCACTAATTTTTTGGGTCAAATATAAATATGCTATAAGATTAAATCAGTCGTAGTGGTAAGAGCAGACCAGTCCCTACCAGCAGCACTCGTTTCACGAGTATGACGGATGACCTAGCCATCACTGCGCTCTACCATATTTTAGGGAGCCCAATAATCCGGCCCACCACCCCGCCACATGTCTGGACATTTTAGTGAGCATGACTACTCATTCCACACGACCACGTCACAATTCTCGGTATCGTAGACTTCTAACTCCTTTATTGGTTAATTTAATAATTAATTCAATTTATTGTCATCCGTTAATAATGAATAGTACATATACAGCAGAACAGGAATGTTAGGGAGCTCCGTAACCGTAACGAAACTATCGGATATCCGATATAAAAAAATATCCGTAACCGTAACCGAATCCGAAATAAAAGTTTCGGATAATATCGAATAGGGGCGGAGCCTAATTGAGACACGTTATGTAACCATTTTATTAACTATTTGTATTTTACTTTTGAAATTTCTTAAAAAAATATTATCCGTAACCGAAATTATCCGAAACTAACGGATAATCCGAAATAATTTAATATCCGCATCCGTATCCGTATCCGGTATAATAATCATTCCTATATCCGAAACCTATCCGTATCCGAAATTTCATATCCATAACATCCCTGCAGCAGAATAAGAAAGTTTTAATAGAATAAGAAAGATATGGTAGTTAAAAAAAATAGAAAAGGGACGGGACCAACTACAGTCTGTTGTCGACTCATGCCCAGTGCCGGAATGCTCGTGACTATGCACTCAACCGCATTCATGAGTTAGAATGTGAACTGTCACAAGCCTATAACAACATTAACACATTGACCACAAAAGTGGGAGGTCAAGAAGCAGAAAAGACCATGACATTGTATGCCGAGCTGATTGATCAAAATGTATCTGATGAGAATGATACTTTCCACTACATTTTCAATACACAGAAGCCTGTTCTCATCTCGAAATCATTCCGTACTGACGGTAGATTTGACGTATCATAAGAGCCTGTAATAGACCTACATGAATAAAGATATTTTGAATTTGATTTTGATTTTTAATTCAATGATCTAAGACAGAACAAAGTGGTTGAAGCAAAAAAGAAAATTGACTCGTATGACCATATGGGAACTCTCTTGAGAAAGAAAGACTAAATCATTAAAACAGATCAAAAATTTATTACTGGTATCCTATTTAACAATATATAAATGCATATGAAATAAGTATATTACAATAGAATTACAAATGAGTGTCATTGTCAACATTCATCGACATGACATTCTTGTCTCTTCGCTGCATCAATTTTACGTAGTCCCTGTCACGGTACATAAGGTCATCACGCTTCATAACCATATCTGACATGTCCATCTCCTTCACCGAATTGGAGACTGGCTCCTTCAAATACACGACCACATCCTGGAATTTCATGTTGCTCGTGTAGAAATTGACCTCATCGATGGGTCTGTCGAAGGGGAATCCGAGGGGCATCGTGTCCATGCACACAGACCAGCGGCAAGATCTTCGCTCCTTCGCAATATTCATGTCCAAAGCCGGCAGCGTCAGGCCTGTACGTACGGGAGTGACAATCACAAAGATCTGGTAGGTTATTCCACCTAACGAGCCTAATGGCAACAGCAATCTATTAGGATATCCAATGCGAGATTTGTACCACCAGCCATCTAATGTTCTCGCGCCTCCACTTGTGTCCATTGCTCGCTCCCAAATGTGCCGAGTCCAAGGTCTCTCTTGGATAACGTTGTTTAGGTCTTGGGAATCGCGAACAATCGTGTTCTTGCCGGTCTCCAGTTTGTGCAGGAAACTGTCGATTTCCACCATACTGTTGCGCTTGTCGTTTAGACTTATGTAACGGCCCATGCAGTCCATTTTAGGTCCTAAGAATATTCGCACAACGGAGTCCACCGCTTTATCTGAAACGACTTCGACGTTTATTTTGAATCGCTGATGGTTGAGACGGCGCATGCGTGCTACGTACACCATGTCGGGGCGCTGGTTTTTCATTTCAGTCTGGTCAAGGTAAAGAGCATTCGTGATATCCACGTCGTAATCATCCATCATGGTGACGAGCTTGTCTGTTGACACTTGCTCGATTTTCACCCCGGGGAAGTCGATTTCCTCACGAGTGTATCTTGGTAGCATTTCTTTAAACAAAGTGAAGTATTCGGAGATAAGTTTAAGGCTCCTCCATGTGCCGGGGTCGCGGAGAGCTGTCGTGTACATGTCGACCGCGGTCGGGACATATGTGTTTCTGATAGACAAAAAAATGCAGCTGTTTTAATACTCTGTTTATGTTTTAAATATTAAAAATTATAATTTTGCAAGTAATATTTAGTTTTCTTAGTCATCTTTAAAAATATCGTGTATCATGTTAATTCATTCATGTGACTAAATCATAGTGACATAAATAGCTTTTTTAATATTAGAAATATTATGAAAGCATACATGTTATTTAATAATATACAAAAGCAAGATTTGAAGGTTTTGTTAAAACAGAATAATACAGAAAATAAATTATATAGTACTTGTATTAATGCTTAAAATAAAAGAAATACTTACTTGCCCATATTGTACGTGCCATAGGATAACAAAATTTCTGGTAAGGTCCTCAATTTACTCCATCTACCATTCTGTTCCTCTTTAGAGAAATATCCACCCAGTACAAGTCGACTAAGATTCTCAATATCATCAGGCTTCTTCAGTGATATACTGGTACCATCATGCTGAAAAATTTAAAGTGCCATAAAATCTACGGTCACCCCGTAAAAAATAGTTTAATATTCCAAAGAAATTAAAATTCAGTAGGACATTTTAGCCGCTTATGAACATCAAATTTTTAGATTATAATTTTAATTACCGTCTAGATCGGTATATAGATCCAATTGAGTAGAACTGGCAAGAAACTCAATTGAATTACTTTTTTAAAAGCCAGTTTATTTACAATGTATATTTATATAGGCGTTCATATCTAGTCTAACATTAAATGACAATCCAAGCTCCATGCTCGTCATTCAAGTAATCGTTTAGTGAGTAATAGGCTTTGCTCAATATGATTTAACAGATGTTTTGAATTTATTTAAGGGTAATTCCAATATATCCTTTAGTAAATTGTACTTATTGTAAATTTATAATATAAATAATAAAATATCTTATTTACATACCGTTACAATGTATCCCTTCTTAATGCCATCCCGAATTATTCTTTCATTGTCTTCAATAAGAAGTTTATATTTAATATTGTTTTCATTAACAATTTCCAAATTATTGTGACGTACGGGCATTTCATCACCAGTAGGTAAAAGAATCTTCGGCCAATACCCTTCCTCGAGAGTTCCATCCAAGTTTAGAGGTTGGATATCACACATCATATGTGATAGCCTTTCTAATCGCAGCCTGCCGAGCAACTGCTGGTAGGTGTACCACATAACCTCACCACGGCGTTCTTTATTCACATTGTAGATGTCTTCTGTCATCCAGTAAGGATAGCTCATGTGCAAGTAGTACAAGTAAGTGTTCAAGTCGATATCTTCAGTGAAATACGATGTACGGTCGAATTCGCTCATCGTATGACGAAGGCCCTTCCGCCAATCGATCACTAGATTGTTGTTATTGATCGAGATGCCATAGTAATTTTTGATAACGGGATCCACTGCACCTTTGGTCATCTTCATCATGAAAGCCTTGTGTAAAATGTTACTGTCCACAAAGAAGTAAGGATGTATTTCGTAAGGAGCTGGGATATTGATGCCGTTGCAGTCAGGTCTATGGAAGACGGCGGCTGTAAGAGCATAGACAAACATACCGCCGTTGATGCGTTCGCGCAGCCAGCACGCGGTTTTTAGAAGGACATCAAAGTCTTTGGCGAAGTACAGGAGTTTGGACACCAGGATGGCTTCTTCAGATTGCTTAGGGTCCAAGTGCACGAACACCTCTCCGCGAGGCAGCATTCCCAACTTGTATACATTAGCGAACTGTCTAACAACTTCCACTTTCTGAAAATGTCATTTTCATCATTATTACCTTCCTAATTACTTATTTTTTTTTATACCACGATGGTGGCAAACAAGCATATGGCCCATCTGATGGTAAATGGATTACCGTAGCCTATGAACGCCTGAAACACCATGGGTGTCACGTGCGCGTTGCCGACCCTTAAGAAACCTTAATATACCCTTCTTGAAAATCCCATGCTGTAGTCTCGTAGAAAATCTCGGCAGGAAGTTCATTCCACAATCTAAGTGTACGCGGGAGGAAGCTCCTCTGAAATCGCACTGTCCGAGACCACTTAGGTTCCTTATTTATACCTTGACGACCTCGGTGGTCTAGCGGTCTAGCACACCGCTTTACGTCCGATGGTCACGGGTTCGATTCCTCGCACGGCACAAACATTTGTATTCATGAGCATGATTGTTTGTATCGGTCTGGGTATTTTCTATGTATAATATGTATGTATTTACGAAAAAAAAATCTATGTATTTGTATCAGTTAGTACCCATAACACAAGCTTTGGCTAGACTAACTTGGGTGTAGATGGCGCTGTGTGAATTGTTCTGAGATTATTATTATTACTATTTCTTTATTCCATAGTTTCCAACTTAATCTTATAATAAATATTGTAAGTGCGAAAGTTAGATAAAAAAAACGTTAGACTATTCAAAAGTGTTTAAATTAAGTTTATTTGAATAAAAGATTTTCTATTTGTAAGTATGATGTACTCTTTCACGCAAAAACTACTGAACGGATTTTGATAAAACTTTACAGTAATATAGCTTACGCATCAGAATAACACACAGGCTATATTTTTATTGTAATTTACATATAGCTAATAATATTATAAACGCGATAGTTTATATGGATGTTTGTTACTATTATACGTAAAAGCTAACTAAGCGAACTGACGGTAGATCCTAGGTCTTACCATCATTTACCATCTGATAAGGTAAGACCAAGCGCAATCACATTATTAATAAAAAAAATGTATTTGACATATTATAAGAGTCTGTAATAGACCTATATGAATAAAGATATTTTGAATTATGATTTTTTTTAATTTTGTATTTACCAAATATTTGTCCATGTTATCCTCAATGACCCATTCTCGTGCAATCTCCCGAACATCTTCGTACATGGTCGGCTGCAGGATGTGGTTCAGCAGCTTCAATATACATCTCTCCTTCGTCTTCACATCCAAATTTACTGTAAACAATTTTTATGAGTACATACATCATGTTATAAATCTGCCAGAAAAAAGATTTAAATGTCAAATAAAACAGTTCCTTTGCAAAAAAGCTTACTATAAAATTGAAGAATTCGTTAACGATAATAATGTTTTTGTAGAAAAATTTTAAATACATAGCACTGACAATATTATCTGATTACACTAATAATGAGTGCGTAGCGATTTCTATGTTGATTGTCGCATGCCTCTTACTTGTTACACTGTAATTATTTATATAAAAAAACGTCTATTAAAAAGAGCAACACACAAGTTTCTTGCTCATTCTTCTTGTGATGAATCTGCATTCCGAATGAGTGGTAGAAACAAAATATGACTATTCAAAAGTGCTTGTAATGAGTTTATTTGAATAAAGATTATTTCAATTTCTATTTCTATTTCATGCTTTTTGGATCGTCTCTCTTTCCTATTTAAACCAAGCAGCTTCCTTTACAATAATAAAAATCCTGAACTATTCACACAGCGCCATCTAGTTCCAAGCTAAAAGCCTATGTTGCGGTACCAGACAACTTATAGTATACTTAGATGCATTTTTTTTAATACAAACATATACGCGGATTTCTAAACTTAATAATTACTGTTATTTGTTGTTACTTAATAATACATGGAAAACACACAGACCGATACAAACTATCATACTCATGAATACAAATATTTATGCTATACGAGGAATCGAACCCGCGACCAACGGAAGTACGGCGGTATGTTAAATGAATATGAGATATTTTTTCTTTTTCTTAGGACAATTCACACAGCGCCATCTAGACCTAAGTTAAGCTAGCTAAAGCTTGTGTTATAGGTACTAGATAGCTGATACAAATACATAGATTTTTATCGTAAATACATATATACATATAAATAAAATTGGAGTGTCTGTTTGTAATAATGAAATAACAGTTTTTTACAACATATAAATACGGTACATACACCAAAATATTTTTTTTTATAATATTTGTCTGTCTGTCTGTCTGTTTGTTCCGGCTAATCTCTGAAATGGCTGGACCGATTTTGACGGGACTTTGACGGGACCGACACGGCACAAACATTTGTATTCATGAGTATGATTGTTTGTATCGGTCTGGGTGTTTTCTATGTATAATATATATGTATTTACAAAAAAATATATATCTATGTATATGTATCAGCTATCTAGTACCCATAACACAAGATTTAGCTAGCCTAACTTGGGTCTAGATGGCGCTGTGTGAATTGTCCTGAGATTATTATTATTTGTGTCTTCTCGAACGTTCCGCGGCGTCACTATTAAATTCAGTGTACAGTACATTCTAACCATTTCTATTTCATTAATACAACTATTTAAACATTGCAATATTCCTCCAGCAAACATATAACACATAACAAACACCCAGACTGACACAAACAACCATACTGTAGAATACAAAATTGTGCCGTGCGAGGAATCGAACCCGCGATCATCGGAAGTCACATGTGCTAAACCTTGGACTAGCTCCAAGGAATTATGAAACACTTACCCATAGGTTCCTTGGTGATGACGATGTTTTGAAGCTCATCGTGGACGACGGAAGCCGCTACTGCAGCGACCAGCGCCGCTACCAACATGTACCTCATGGTGACCACACTCAGATTCACTGTAACTAAACTGAACAATACTCGCCTTTTATACTCTCAACCGATGATATCAATGTATGTTACACATTCCCTTATCTGCACTTTCTTTAAAACAAGATGTTTTTATTAATTATTAATTTAATTGATCGGATCTGCAACATTGTAACGTAACGATGTAATTGTAAACACGGTGTAACTCCACTTCTGGCAGATTTCAGTGATTAAAATATTAATACGCGATTTCGTCCGCGTGGAATTTAACTTTATATAAATTTAACTAAAATAAAATGTCTAAGTTACTCCTTATTACATCAGCTACTAGCCAAAAAAGTCCCGTCAAAATCTGTCCAGCCATTTCAGAGATTAGCCGGAACAAACAGACTGACAGACAAAAAATGTAAAAAAAGTTATTTTGATGTATACCGTATTTATAGTCATATTCATGTAGACAGACACTCCCATTTTATTTATGTCTTGATTCTTTTTATCTATATACACACAACAAACTGACGGCCCAAGACTAAAAATGTCAGACACCATAAAATACAAAACCCACTACAAAAGAAACCAATACTATGTTCTGCCATTCCTGAGAAATGGTGTACCTCGACGTTTTGACTAGGTTGCACTAGTCGAAACGTCGAGACAGGTTCTTAACACGAATAATTTTTTTTGACATAAAATTATTCATACATTATATAATACATACATTATTTATATTATTAACCGGATAACACGTAAGATTTATATAATTGTATATGCATATTGGTAAATCTAATCCTCCAAATAAAGATGGGTGACACTGCATATTGTCAACTCACCCGGCCGGCCAGCGGTGGTTCTGGGCCAGACGGATAAGGTCTGCCTCGGTGTCACTGTTAGGCAAATTGTAACATCTCGGCTGGAGTTGCACAAAAGTGGAAATTAAATAAATATTATAATATTAAAGTAAATTAAAAAAGGCACGGACGAATATATCTGTGGAAAAATGTATTTAAATATAAAAAAAAAAACCGGATAACACGAATAATATTATGGTAAATAAACGTACCTCCCTCCAGTCAGCTCGTGACCAGGGCTAGTGCAACCTAGTCGAAACGTCGAGAGAAGTAAACTCATTTATTTATCATAAAATTATTCGTGTTAAGACCCGGTTAATATTATAAATAATGTATATTAAACGTGAAAGTTTAAAAATAACTAATTCCTCTTATCTTCTCCTGGTAAATTTATTCGGTTTCAAAAGAAAATAAACATTTTGTAGATATGTACATACATAAAACATGTTCATCGATTTCTGAGCTATTGTAATCTTTGTGGCTGTTCGTGGAGGCTGTATCTCCCTGCGTGGGTGGTGCTGGCCCAATAATAAAATCCTTTGGTTGCAAAAGTTCTTGTTTATTTTGGCATTTACAGTTTATTTTATATTATATTTTTTTCCGTACCATCCAGTTCAGTATATAGATCCAATTGGGAAGAACTGGCAAGAAACTCAATTGAATATTTTTTTTAAAGCCAGTATATTTACAATTATAATTACAAATATATTTATATAGGTGTCTATGTCTAACATTAAATGAAAATCCCGTGCCTGAACAAGTATTGCCATGCACGTTCGTCATTCAAGTAATCGTTTCGTAGGCTTTGCTCAGTAAATATGATTTAATAGATGTTTCGAAAATATCGTACTTACCCCACTTTTGCATGATCGCTGTGGCAATGATAATGACGTTTTTGGTTAAACTGTAATAATTATCTGTTTGTTAACATCCCACTACCCACCGATCATGTTGACGTGAGTTCTCTCGCTATTAATTTGGAAAAGCCGTGATAACTTTTTAATTACATATTCAACCTTTGTTTTTATTTTAAATCATGTTAAACAAGCAATATTACATAGTATCAAATCTTATCAACGCCTATACTATTCAAGACTATCATCATCATCATCATCGCAGCCCGGAAGACGTCCACTGCTGGACATAGGCCTCCCCCAAAGATCTCCACGACGATCGGTCCTGCGCTGCTCGCATCCAATGCCTTCCAGCGATCTTAACCAGATCGTCGGTCCACCTTGCTGGAGGCCTTCCCACGCTGCGTCTTCCGGTTCGTGGTCGCCACTCGAGAACTTTACTGCCCCAACGGCCATCTGTCCTACGAGCTATGTGCCCTGCCCATTGCCACTTCAGAGTTGCAATTCAAGACTATATACAAATTTATTTCCAACACTGAAGAAATTGTGATTGTAGAATAGAATAGAATAGAAAATCTTTTTTTTTTTATTTTATTTAGGATCACCAACAATTATTACAATCATACAATTAATTTAATTACATGTAATGGGTCAGGGTCTAATTGTACAAATATTTACTTATTTATATATATATCAAATAAACTTAATTTAAGCACTTTTGAATAGTCATAACAATATTTTTATCTACCGCTCGTTCGGAAAGCTGTCTCATCACAAGAAGAACGAGCAAGAAACTTGTGTGTTGCTCTTTTAAATAATCCTTGTAAGTTTACATTTACAAGTCGAAACGTGTGAATACAAACTACCAACCAGTACTAATTTTTTGGGTCAAATATAAATATACAATAACATTAAATGTGTTATGAAGTGAATAAAAATATATAATTAATTAATTAGGAATATTTAAATAACACTACAAATATACATAATTCCTCAATATCAATTTTCTATATAAACAATTACAAAAAACAATCATTGTAATCCAACGCGGCACATCGAGGCAGCGTACCCAAGATACTGGCAGCGTTGCCTCTTTGAATGGCCATGCTTAGCCTTTGGGCAAAATAGCTACCAGCTCTCGGGTCACAAGTAACCTCAATGAGCCGCGCTGAAATATATGTCAAAAACAATTTGGCTTCCGGGCTCCATGGGCCCAACGTCTCCACGGCAAATGGTAAAAACCAATACGACCCCTCCAGATTCGTATATTTTCGTCTTTTTAAAATTGCCGCCTGTGTTGCTGCCGTGCCAGGACGAGAGGACGATCCAGACACATGACTTGGTGCCAATGTATCCACACACGTGGCATCCCATACTAAACATTTTCCGAGTTTCCACGGGACCAGGGTCATACCATCAGGCCATTTCCCGTCTTCGCGAACAATGCCACTAGGCTTAATATTAAGGCATATTAATTAGGTGTAGTTTTTGCGGCTTTACTTTTGTTTAGCGTGTGTAAAAAATTAGGGCCTACAAAATCTAAGAAGATTTATACAAACTTTCATCCCCTATTTTATCCCCTTAGGGGTGGAATTTATCAAAATTTTCTTAGAGGATGCCTACGTCATAGTAGCCTTATGCATGCTAGTCTCAGCCCGATCGGTTTAAAATTAACAAGTTTCATACAAACTTTCATCCCCTATTTTATCCCCTTGGGGGTAGAATTAATCAAAATCCTTTCGTAGCGGATGCCTATGTCATAACATCTATCTGCATGCCAAATTTCAGCTCGATCCGTCCAGTGGTTTGGGCTGTGCGTTGATAGATCACTACGTCAGTCACCTTTGAGTTATACATATATATTTAGATTAATAAGATTTCTTGAGTGGTAGAATAAAAAACGACTTGTATTAAGTTTTTTTGAATGAAGATTATTTGTATTTCTATTTCTTGTTTCCATTGTTACAGACATTCCGGCATGGGTTCCCTTTCGCGCCGACAGCCCTCGCCTGGGACCCCATCCAGAAGCTCCTCGCCGTCGGAGACAAGGGCGGCAACCTCAGAATGTATCCTTTTTAATTACTGCCGTGTAATTAATTAACAAGATTAATAAGTGGTAAGTCTTAAAAATTACAGTTATTTCTTATGCACGGGTTGATTTCGTTCAAAAGCAAGTTGTTAGCTGAACAACTGAAATTAGAAAACATTTGTTGATGAATGATTTATATGATTTACATTATAATAGAATAGAATAGAATAGAATAATATTTATTACTATCACACATCACAACACAACAATGACAATGCTCACAGCAGCATATAAATTATTATAACATATAAATAGAAATAATAAATCCAATACAAATCATTAAGAGAAAAAAAAGCGAACAATATATAATATATATAAACACATATACCAAAAACAATGGTAACTGTACAGGACTTTTTACATTCAGGCCGCTGGCTGGTACGACTATTCCTTATTTTTAAATATTTATATTTTACTAGCTGTCCCGGCAAACGTTGTTTTGCCTTAAAATAAAAAAAAATATTAGGGTGGACTACCCCTAACATTTAGGAGGATAAAAAATAGATGTTGGCCGATTCTCAGACCTACTCAATACGCTCACAAAATTTCATAAGAATCGGTCAAGCCGTTTCGGAGGAGTATGAGAACGAAAACTGTGATACGAGAATTTTATATATAAGATTTTTTTTTATAACACTTGACAAACGAGCATGCGGCTCACCTGATGGTAAGTGATTATCGCCCCCATGAACACCCGCAACACCAGGGGAATTGCAAGTACGTTGTCGGCCTTTTAAAAAGGAATAAGCTCTTTTCTTGAAGGTTTCAATATCGTATCGGTTCGGAAATACCATTGCTGGAAGGTGATTCCACAATGTGGTTGTGCGAGGTAAAAAGTTTCTAGAAAACCGCACTGTGGAGGACCGCCATTCATCCAGATGATCAGGATGGTATTTGAGTTTCTGGCGGGTGGTACGGTGGTGAAACTCAGCAGCTGGTATTAATCCGAACAAGATATCGGTTGCTATGGTTTTGTTATACCTTTTTATGATTCCTTGTATTGCTCTTGCTTTCATATAGTTTGTTACGACATATATTTTTATAATATACTATTCTTTTACATATTGCATCTTTAATTACCAGCATCGTTGGCTGCACCGACCCCAGCGCCCTATACACAGTCCCACACAATAACAAAGCAAAAAAATGCCTATCCACCACTGCGGAGCATCGTCACGGCGTCACTGTACTGATGTGTGTGTAAGGAAATAGAAATAGAAATCTTTATTCAAATAAACTCATTACAAGCACTTTTGAATAGTCATATTTTGATTCTACCACTCATTCGGAATGCAGATTCATCACAAGAAGAATGAGCAAGAAACTTGTGTGTTGCTCTTTTTAATAGATGTTTTTTTTTATATAAATTATTACAGTATAACAAGTAAGAGGCATGCGATAATCAACATAGAAGTCGCTACGCACTCATTATTAATGTAATCAGATAATATTGTCAGTGCTATAGATTTAAAGTTTTTCTATAAAAACATTATTATCGTTAACGAATTCTTCAATTTTATAGTAAGCTTTTTTGCAAAGGAACTGTTTTATTTGACATTTAAATCTTTTTTCTGACAGATTTATAACAGACTCTGGTATTTTATTATTTTTATTAAGTATATTATTATTTAAGGAACCCATCTCAGCCATGACAAAAGCCACATTACGACTTGATTGTGACTACTAGTAATATCTCATGACAATTCACACAGCGCCATCTAGTTCCAAGCTAAGTAGAGCTTAGGATATAGGTACAACGCAAAATTTCATAGAAAACACTTAGATCGACACCAACAACCATAAACACAAATTGTTGTATCGTCAGAGGAATCGATCCCGCGGCTATTAGAAGTAAAGGGGTGCTATACCGCTAGACCATGGAGACCGTCATAATAGTTAACTTAATAACTAATTACTTATATTAATAATAGTAACTGATTAGAGGGCGTCCATAAATTACGTGAGTTGTTTTTTTGAATTTTCTGTCCCTCCCTCCCCCACTGGTGAGATGTCATGAGATTTTATTCAACCCCCTCCCCCCACCCCCAATCTCACGTGAGATTTTTCAAAATGTGGGTTTCTTATATAAACGCGTTGGATTGTTATTGTAAAAATAAAAAAATATTTGCTTCGTGCTTTTTACGACTAGTTAAGACTAGTAATCAATATTTCTGAGAGTTATAAATGTAGTAATCATGTACAATCTGGATTAAATGGATCAAAATTGTATAATTTTTGTTTGTTTCAATTAAATAAGAAAAAATATTGCGTGATATTTGCCGAGACCCCCTCTCTCCAACGTAAGTTTAGATGAGATTCGACTCGACCCCCTCCCCCCCTTAAACATCTCACGTAATTTATGAAGACCCCCTTAATCAACAGGTAATAATATATTCACGACAGCAATCCAGTTGGTGGTAGTCAGGCACAATTAAATTTAATTCAATATGGTCAGAATTTATATCGGATTAATTCGGATCGTCACAAGTCTGTATTTGTAATATTGAAATAACCGTGTCCTACTATGAATATAAATACGGTACATATACCAAAATAACATTATTTAGAATTTTTGTCTGTCTGTCTACCTGTCGGTTTGTTCCAGCTAATCACTGAAATGGCTGGATCGATATTGACGGGACTTTTTTAGGTACGTAGCTGATGTAATAAGGAGTAACTTAGGCTACTTTTATTTTCGAAAAATAAATTTATATTCCACGGGGACGAAGTCACGGATACAGCTAGTATTAAAATATAAATTGACAAAGGTGTTGATCTAAATTGAAACTTATGCTTCATACTTATAACTAACTGTACACGCGACATCGTCCGCGTGGATTTTAACTTTATTTTACTAAAATAAAAGTAGCCTAAGTTACTCATTACATCAGCTACCTGCCAATAAAAGTCTCGTCAAAATCAGTCCAGCCATTTCAGAGATTAGCCGGAACGAATAGACAGACAGATAGTCAGACAAAAATTGTAATACATATTATTTTGGTGTATGTACCGTATTTATATTCATATGCATGTAGTAAAAAAATGTTATTTCAATATTACAAACGGACACTCCAATTTTAATTTTATGTATAGATGTTTGTATTTATTTCAGATTCATGTTTATTAAACAATGTATGTTATTTGAGCACATCCTCAAATAACATACATTGTTTAATAAACACGGTTTTATAATAGAATAGAATAGAAGAATAGAAAGTCATTTATTCAAATAAACTTAATTTAAGCACTTTTGAATAGTCAACAATTTGTTTTTTATCTACCACTCGTTCGGAAAGCTGTCTCATCACAAGAAGAACGAGCAAGAAACTTGTGTGTTGCTCTTTTAAATAATCCTTGTAAGTTTACATTTACAAGTCGAAACGTGTGAATACAAACTACCAACAAGCACTAATTTTTTGGGTCAAATATAATCATGCAATAAGATTAAATCAGTCGTAGTCATAAGAGCAGACCAGTCCCTACAAGCAGCACTCGTTCACGAGTATGACGGATGAGCCAGCCATCATTGCGCTCGACCATATTTTAGGGAGCCCATTGACCCGGCCCACCACGCCGCCACATGTCTGGACATTTTAGTGAGCATGACTACTCATTCCACACGACCACGTCACAGCTACAAAAATTACTATATGGTAGTTACAGTATTCGCACTTTACATAAGGATGCATGCGGCAATCAATACAAAAGCCGCTACGCTATCATATATCAAGAAAGCAGTAATAAACAAGTTAGCAACTGCTAGTAGGTGGTCATAACAACACTGTTATTGAAATAGTCACTAGGCAGCTATATTCGATAATAATTATTCATACACAATATTTTATACCTAATTTTTATCGAAGACAATGTAAACAATATGCAGTTATATCTGACATTAGGTATAGTGAATACTATCTCCATAGTTATCTGTTATTTCATTAAAATCGCATCAAAAGGTCACGATACGCAAGTTGTGACGTTGTTGCGTAATCAGATCCAGTCTTAATAATAATAATCATCCTGGATAATTCACAAAGCCATACAGTTAAAAACTAAGCAGAAATTCAAATTCAAAATATCTTTATTCATGTAGGTCTATTACAAACTCTTACGATATGTCAAATCTACCGTCGGTTCGGAATGATTTCGAGATGAGAACAACTGACAAGAAACTCAGCTCGTATTCTTTTCAAATAAATGTTGTACATGTTTACAATAATACAGATTCATTTAAATTCAAGTTTGGGAGAATAGAATGACCACCAGCAGATGCTATTGCACAAGCAAGTTTTATCAGTGTTTGTAACTCGAACAGACGAATATGACGGCCGGACACTTATGTTATGGGTACTAGATAATAATAATAATATCTCAGGACAATTCACACAGCGCCATCTAGTCCCAAGCTAAGCAGAGCTTGTGTTATGGGTACTAGACAACTGACATACATATACATGTAAATATAATAAACAAATATACTTTTTTATGAATACATCTATCTAAATATATATAACTCAAAGGTGACTGACATAGTGATCTATCAACGCACAGCCCAAACCAGTGGTTTCGGATCGGGACGGATCGGGCTGAAATTTGACATTCAGGTAGATGTTATGACGTAGACATCCGAAAGGATTTTGATTAATTCTACCCCCAAGCGGATAAAATAGGGGATGAAAGTTTGTATGAAACTTCGTCAATTTTAAACCAATCGGGCTGAGACTTTGTATACATAAAGCTACTATGACGTAGGCTAAGAAAGGATTTTGATAAATTCCACCTCTAAAAGGATAAATTAACGCGAGCGAAGCCGCGAGCAAAAGCTAGTTCATAATATACATAGAAAATACCCAGACGATACAAGCAATCATACTCATGAACACAAATGTTTGGTCTGTGCGAGGAATCGAACCCACGACCATCGGAACTAAAGCGGTGTGCCAGACCACTAGACAGTCAGTCGTAATACCTATATCA